GACGACGCTATATTCGATCCAAAGCGCAGACTTGGAAAGAATCCATTCCCAAACCCCATTTTTATTCCCAGGTACGACCTACAAGGATCATCACACGAATCCTTGGGTCTTGCGAACCCTCTCTCCTGGAGAAGAGCTAAAGTGTTCCTTGGATATTTTTACTATCCAACACTCTTAACAGGCTGTTCTTCATGAGCGCGCCAACATTTGCGGAAGACCCTGTTACACAGCGGCCAGCTCTCCAGAGGTTAGTCGCTCTCCTTTGCGTCTCTAATATATCGTCGCAGCGAAACTCCGCTGATATTGCTATGCGTTCTAGTGCGGACTTTCGTCTTACGGTTCGCCAGAACCCGGAGCGGGCCCGTGTAGCAGGAGGAAAAGAGAAAGGTAACTGCACAATTTCTCATATCTAGCAATCCTCTTCTCCCCAGGGATGACTGAATGCTAATGGTAGTTTTGCTTCTTTCGTTCTTTTCGTTTGCGCAGAACGCAAAGCGGTGGACCCTCCACCTATTATCCAACTGAAAATCGATGAATCGAAGGACCCTGGGCAGTAAGGCGCTCGTGTGACGAAGCTTAGCGGTATAATTGCTTACAGCCCGTGAAGGAACTATTTGCAAAGTCCGTTTTATTTTATGTGCTGCACCCTCTACAATGCGACAGAGGATACACCCGCCACGACAGCTCAATCTACGGCGCTCGCGGGGACTTTAGTGTCCTCCCTCCATCGACTTAAGGACACCGATAATATGGGTTAGTGTTCCGCTGAAACATTGATGGTCAACATTTGCTGGTATCTGACACAGAAGTCCTTAGAAAGGTGGTTTTTTCGTCTTCGGCGACCTTTCTGTTAAGATTGAAGGAGAATTTAGGCTGAAATTTAACCTGTTTGAGATGCGAGAGTATGATCCGCGTGGAATCGATCTTATTGACGTGACTGCTGACCTTGTTGATAGAGTGAAGAGATGTGGCGGCTCGAGAGATGAAGTCGTTTACATAAAATCGATCCTCTCTAAACCATTCACTGGTGAGTTGATATCTTAAGGGGGATTGCGTTAGCGCTCATGCTAATATCACAGTGTTACCCCCCAAAAACTTCCCTGGGATGACCGAGTCCACATGGCTTTCAAGGTCTTTTGCGGATCAAGGAGTTAAGCTGAGAATTCGGAAGGAGGCCCGTACACTTCTGTGAGTTGTTTGCGAAGGATTTAAAAAGAATGTAGCTGATGTAGAATAGAAAACGCCCATTGAATCGAGCGGAATCAGATTACCCAGCCCCGCCGACGCAGCCTCGTACGCCAGAGCGCTCCGGCGCATCCAGTCAGCAGATAGTAGCTGCTTACCAGACAAACCGAGACTACCCTTTTTACAATGGGCCAGACGCCAAGCGTCCACGGAGTTCAGTTGATATGAGTGGTCGAGGCTTGTACGAAGGAGATGCTCGATACTCGTACCCACCGCATGCCGCCAATCCATACCAAGGTCAGACGTACCAACAAGGCATGATGCAAGGCTATCCTACTGCTGGAGCTGGGGTATCCGACTATGCCATTCGACAGGCACAACAGGGATCTACACCGACACCGTTTGGTTCAGCCGATGAATCTATTGGATCTATCCGCTCGCCTGGAGCGGGTGGGTACATAGGTCAACCTCGATACCAGTCATACTCGGGCGCTCAAATGCCATACAATCTTGCTTCTTCAACACAAATGTCACAGATGGGCGAATCCACCCCAGGCCGGACCGGCCAGGCAGCAAATATGGGGGGAATCGTTTCTGGTCAGTCTTTCAGTCAATCCGCAGGACACATGCAGAGTCCTTCTCAAGTGAGACAAACCGGTTCTGCCTATCCACAGGGGCACTCACCTGAATTTTTCTGATCTAGGTTCCGCCGGCATGGGGATGATGCCCCAAGCGTACCAACGATCGCAGTTCCAACCCGCGGGTTCAAACACCCTACCTCCCTTGCAATCGAACCGGCAAGCAGCTCCGTCGAACAGTAACGGCAATGCGCGGGCGTATTACGATCAATCCATACAAGGAACTCCACCAATTCTCCCTTCTCAGCCGGGTCCCTCGACAAATGGCGATAGATACGGGAGCGACGGCCAGGTTGCTTTTGGTGCTCCTGGTTCGTCTAACACAACACCGCAATAAGTTGCTCCTCGCGAATTTCACGAACCACTGTCTATATGAGTTTATATTTTTATTCCCTGGGTTCATTTCGGCTTAATATTTGTCCTTGTATTCTGATATGGGACTTTCTCAGTTTCCATACTCATCCGCTTGGATAGATTTTCACGGAAGGTGTCAAAGGGAGAAGGGACTGGTCCTGTTGGGAATAATACAGTTATACCTGGTGCCTTAGGACTTACGGATCTTGTGTTTATGCTATTTTTAATTTCACGGGGTGTTCATGAAAATTGCATTTTTTTCTTACCTCCCTTTCTTGTACAGTATGTTATTTTACTCTTCTTTTCTCTCTTCTTCTCTTTGTTTGTAATGTGCCTCTCTTTTCCTTTTACTCATACAAAATCAGTTGGCGGGTTGTTCCCCCCCCCCTTTTTACCTTGCTTTTCCTTTCCTCATTCCCATGTTTGGAACTTGCAGTGCATGCTCGAAATTAGGTTGTTAAACACGGGACTGGCAATTCTAAATGGAAAAAGCGTGGATTTTAGAGTTGCATCTCAAGACACAGGTCATTTATAATGGTAATATGGACTTCCCTGGTTCATTGAGCAGGCGCATCATGTATGGTTCGGAAAGCTGACTCAGGTGTTCCTGACCTCGCTGTTTGATGTTCGGTTGGTTAGGTTGAATGTACGGTGATCAGACAAATACACTAATAGGATGCCTGTTCTTATTCTGATCTAATAATACAGGGATTGCGCCCCTTTACTAAGTCATATTCAGATCTCCTGCCCTGTACAAGCTTGGGCCATCGCCAGGAACACGCGCTAGGCAATCCAATGCGTCATTAGAGCATCGGCATTGAAGCGCGTTATCGTAAAGCGGGAACTACACATACACCGTCGACAGTACACCCTACGAGTGTATATGTGTTGTTGGTGAGTGTTGTGGCCTCTCAGCCGCTGTTTCCCCCGGCGCCGCCAACATTGATCGATTGTGCCTAAACAACATCAAACTTGTCTTGCGGTCATCAGCACTCCAAGATTTTCAGATTCATCCCAAGTCCCCTCATTTTCTTCCCTTTGCTCTCCTATTTTCTTCCTCTCTAGATTCTGCTATCCCCGTACCGTTCTCTTTTCGATTCCGTTGATTTGGTTATGCTCTCAAGTTGAGCTCCCTTCTACAGGCGTTGTTATGGTGGAGTGAGAATCAGCGACGCTTCAGTTGGTGCAAAACGACGTGCAGAACCGAGTGGGGTAAACATCTATGATATCGACATAATGGCGTTAGAGACTCTCTCTCAACCACCAATCAATCGTATTGATTTGAGCGGTGAGTGGGATGGTAACCCGGGAAGCGAAATTGCTCTACACGCGAATATCGAGGTAAGCTATCCAGGAAAACTCCTTTCTATTGCGTTAGGCCATTGCTCCTTGGCCATCCAAGAAATTATAGCAACTGACGAAGACTTGAATTCAATCTGATAAATGGAAACAAGTTCATCTCTGCGCCAAATACAAGATTACCTCTGCTTGACTTGAGCAATGGTGTTGAGTTGTTACAGTATGATGGCCCGACCGAGATGCCGGAGAATCGCCCCTATCACCTTGCGGAGATCAGTGATGAAAAGTCCAATGGATCAACTAGGGGCGGAGGAAGCGGTAGGCAGTATCTCGACATCTTAAAAGGGATTGCGAACGGGGGAACTGAGTCATTATCTGACACGCCACGGACCTTATACCGGAAGGGAATGGAGCTGTGCCCCTCTTCTACAAAAAGAAGGCTCTTTCCCCCTAGCCCAACAAGCACCGTCAGTCGAATGCCTTCGTTTGATGACCTGGCTCCAGGGCTCGAAATTGGACTTTTGTCTATCGGCGTTGATGAAGATGACGGCCTCGATGGTGAAGGTAGCAAGAGTACCGATGTTTCACCAGTGGGCATTTCAGAAAGTAGTGGCACTAATTCTGCGGCTCAAAACCTTCGTCTGAGTGATACATATAATCGAGAAATGTCATCATTGTCTTCCGCTGCCATAACCCCAAAGTCTGAAAAAAGGGTAGTGAGCAGGATACCTGTTAAATCGCAGCGGTTGGCAAGGCCTTCTGGCGCATATGAAGAGTTTTCGCATTCGTCGGAGTCCGAAGGTAATTTGAGGAATACCTCCGTTTCCTCATCCAAGACAGAGAGTCCTCCATCTGAGACAATTCCTACCCAAGGAAATGAAATGCCGCCTATGAAACTGTCGACTCCTAGGAACGAGCAGTTTTCGCCAGTGGAGTTGTCGCATACGCTGTCCGCTGATTTGACTAAACGTTGGGTGGATCAGAGGTCACCGCAATCCCCTACTAGAAACTTTTCAAATGGAGTAGGGGGGCATCCTCTTTTTGACCGCCATACTTCTCCGCAGTCTGAGCTGGGAGGCTCCCGATTCCATGCTCAATATTCTTTGCAAAGCCACGCTGCAATTTTCTCTCAAGAAGGCGAACCTAACCTAAAATACAGCGATAAACACAGCGATAAGTCGATGTACGTTTCAACCTGGCTCGGGAAAGATGAGTGCAATGGACTCGCGAAGGAGTACCATCAATCCCAATTATTGTTCCCTACTGGATACTCGACAGAACCTTCAGAAAACAACAATGAGAACAGTCCCACAAATGTTGAGAGCCATACTCACAACACCGATAGACCACGGCAAAGCGAGACTCATAAGCCTGTCATTCTACCAAGTCCTTCCCCATCATCTCAACAGGGAATGCCATGGAATTCGGCAGAAGAATTGGCCAGGAAACGCGATTCAGGAACGAATCTGGACACGGCATCCACTATTCCAGAACCGGAACTTGCAATAGTGGAAGAAGTTGGCAAAGACTTTTATATTTTATCTCCAGAAACATCTGTGCCAAAGGTGTATATTATAGAATTCGATTTTAAAGTACGATTAAGCACCTTGCAGCCAGGCGGCTGGCAACTTCTGAAAATACCCGGTTTACCGGTTTATAAACAAGGAGGCAAAGGAACTGTTAAATTAACTATCCCCAGTAGTTCAACTAGGAAAAAGTTGGACTGTGGAAATGAGGGTTTTCTGAGTTTAGAACGCGACGGCGCCGGTTTTATTGCGGATTTCGATATCGCCGAGCCGTTGGTTGTATCAATGCGAGCGGTAGAATTACTATCAAGTGAGTCGCGCGATAAACGTATCTTGAACCATGAAATCAGAGTGGCTTTGAGGTGTCACCAAAAAGTTGTGGAGTACACTGCTATTTGTGCATTGTCCTTTTATCAGAAGATTCTCTGTGCCGATGAGGGTTCTATTGCAGTTATTATCAGTGACGGTCCTGTCGGGGATTTTGAATGGATAATAGAGAATGGCAATAGGGATTTCCATGTGGATCAAAGGGTGGCAAATGCCAGTGATCTTGGGACAACGAAGATTAGGATTTTCTGTAAGGGAAATGAGCTTGATGGATGCTTTCGTATAACCTGGGAAGTTCCCTTTGAAACACAAGCTTCACAAACTTGGGTTCCGAAACTCTTTTGCGAAAAGCCCGCAACCCAAGCGGAGTATGTGCCGTCGCTCCGCAGCCAGTGGCGAACGGAAACGCCAGGAACTCCAATGATTAGGGCCGACCCGGAGTCTGGGGAAAGCGGCCTTGTTGGGACAGAGAAATCTGTGAGGGAATGGGAACAACATGGTTTTGAAGATTTAGGTTATTTGGGACTACCAGCAATTGAGACGGAAAGCATAACCTACTGGTGTGTGCACCAGTTGGTTAGGGCCGCCCTTCTCTTCATGGCCATTATAGAGGGATTGGGTGGTTTTGTTCAAACCTATCTCGAGTATGTTCCACTTGGCCCGAAGAAAATAATTCTCTTGCCCGTTATCGTGGTGCAAACACTGGTCCTCATCAATCAACATCTCAGCTGCCCAAGTACTATTGAGTGCCAAGAGAATCAACCAAAGTGTATTGGACTATCCTGCCCACGAAGTTATTTTCAAATTGAGCCCTGCCTGAGTAGCTTCAGCTGGTTTGTTCAGGAGAAAGCTTCTGTTGCTGAAAGAGGTCTGTTGGGACATATTTTCAAAGTGGTTAGTGGTCGAGGTGAGGTTACTTTTATTGACAGCGAGAACGCTAGGGGCGCGGAGGAGGGAGCCTTGAAAATCACAGCAGCTCAAATCTCGACCCATAGAGAATTTGATGCCGCTTCTCCAACTGGGATTGGTGTCGGCAGTGAAGCCGGACAGGCCCATGTGCACCTCTCGACCTCGAATCAACCCCAAACAAAGTTGAAAAGTGATACTAATAGTTTCACAACCTCAGAGGGCACCACTACCAGTAGAGACATTGCGATCCCGGCAAAAGCGTCCCTGCGAGATCGAATTGATATGTTTTTCGGTTGGACTGGGCCGTTGGAATGATCAACCGAATGTGGAAATTAGTTGGTAGTTCCATCGCTCAAGCTAATAATGAGAAGTTGTATGAACAGGATTGCGTTTCGAGTTCTTGGGGTAACGGTGCTTGAGTTAAGCTCACTTGCTTGCTGATGCCGCGTATCCTTCCTTTACCCTCTATGTGATTTTAATTTATATGAACACCCAAAAAAATAGAAGAATACCATTTCTCACTATTTACCACACTCTGGACAACATGCACCAGCGACGATCTGCTCATCTGATAGTTTGTCTTGGCAGGATCCCTCTGATATCATCACAGATCTGCGGACCCCGGGACAAGCCCATATCAAAGGTTCATTCAAAGCGTTTCTGGACTTTTGCATCTTGAGAAAAGCAATTGGTCGAAGGTATTTTTTGGGGGAATGGGGAATAAGGTCCGAGACCTTATTCCACAATGGCAGCGACTTTCTTGGTGCGTGCGTCTATGTGTTCACGATGAGTTGCACTAAGATACGCCGTTTTTTTATTTTTTTTTTGTTGAGAAGAGCCAAGGGCAAGCCAAGATGGCGACCGATAAAAGAAACGTGAATCTCACTCTCTTTCGAGTCATTATTGAATCATAAAGCAATCAATGCCAGCCTTCATATTCTAAAACAGATGGTGCCTCTCTCACACATGAGCTTTGCCAGTCAACACATATTGGGTTGAAACCACGGGCAATTTCTCAACAACTCCTAGACACTGTGGTGAAACAAAACTAACTTCTGAGACTCCTCCGTTTGGGCTTGGTAGTTATCGATTACTTCGTGTCCAGGGCCTTTCCGGGGCATCCTTTTGGGCAGTTTGCGACCTCCATATCTACCATCCGACTGACCCCAGGCGCTTCGGGCTTATCTCCATTATTTCTTTTCTTTTCCTTCTTTGCTTTTTTTTTTTTTTTTAATTTTTTGCAAGAAACGAGCAGAGTCCCGGCGAATGATGAATAGAGCTTCCCGCCTCGTTTTTCTCGTTCGAAGACGCTCCCGTCCAAAGGAATAAGAATGGAGTCTTCCCCCAGCACAACGAAGCATGCCAGCTCTCTTTCCACACCACAACTTCTTCCACGCCAGTCCCTCATTCTCACTCCCGCTTCCTGCTCTGCTAGTTAATACTGAAACGAACAGGGAGTACTTCGCACGGAATAACTGGAGCTTTGCCGTCTGGGATCGCCTGCAAGATATCGTTGTCTCGGCTGCGACAGCTGTCATTAACAGCATGTAAGTTCTACATGCTAATCTTATTGCTGGCTAGTTGTTATTCACTGCGTTCTTTTTCGGTATATCTTGCTTCTCCTCTTTCGAATTTCTCTTCCAGCAAGGTGTTATTGTTATTGGTCTAACAAGGCACGCTCCAGCTTGGCACCATCGTCATTGCTGAATGACGAAAAGCCAATGGCGAATCAAAGATTTCCTATGATCATAGACACCCACCTCGGTACGCGGGTTCTCTTATGTTTGGCCTTGTTATCTCACACGGTACTCATGGCTTTCTTTCCAGGGTTGAGTGAGCTACAGCTCAGCTGATCATCACTTGTCTATCCCCTCCCTCTTTTTTGCTCGACTTCGGCTTTTGCATTTGCTCTTGAGCATTGGCAGTTCAGTAGAGCTTTGTTACCTCCATCTGCAAAAGCCTTCTCAATTTACCCTTTGCCATGCATCCTCGACAAAACTCGAGGCTCGGGTCAATGTTGACGATCATATGATAACTATCCATCCCTCCACGAATCAAGGTTATCTTCTAATTTTGTGGCCGGATATATCCTTCCTGGAGCAATGTATCTGTACTCCATTACATACTTGTACTGTTAAAGTTGTATAAGGAAACTCCCTTTTTTCCTCTTTGCTCTCTGTACTACTTCCGTTGCTTGGCGGTAACACAAGATAGCAGGGAGGCAAGAGGTTGTTCTTTGTTCTCCTCTCACAGCGCCCCTAATATTCTAATCTCCGCTTCCCGGCTCACTGAATTTATCTCTTGGCTGTTGACTGCTCCCGTTTCTTCGCTTGGCGGAGCGCACCAGAACCACCTCTACCCCCTCCCCTGAGGAACATGAACACAAATTTATATCAAATCACTCAAAAGAAACATTTGCATACTAACGTAGGCTAATTCAAAAATTATAGCTTACAGTGCCGCATCATAAGTTCGGCAATTCAGTTTGGCAATTTTGGTGTACAAAACGCTTCAAAGTTATAGTACAGCGTTCGCTGTACCATATACGTGGTTATCAGCTGGGGTTGTTCCGCTGGGATTGGAGCTCTTCCTCTCCAACTTCATTCAAACTTCATTCAAGCCAACAGCCATATCCGTTTTTGAGCCATATTTCCTAGGGCTTGTGTTCGTCCAATGACAATGACTGCAGATGATTCAAGCCTAGTTCCCCAAATCACAGACGGTATGGTTATCTATTACTGTTTTGTACATTTTTTACATTGTCCCCCGGCAAGAATATTCAGAGTTAAGATGTTATTCTTTCTATGGAAGACACGTGCCGCTTCCCCTGACCCGCCAAGGTGCATTAACTAAATATCTCTACATTTCTATACCCCATATTCTTATTATGGGAATCGAAACCAAGCTCATCTTTCCATCTTAGATGCATATCGACTCGCCTTAGCGAGAAACAGACAATGGGCAATCAAAACCGCAAAAGACGACCCAACTCTCTTCCCAAAACTTGCAACAGGCCAACACCCAGAAATTCTCTGGATCGGCTGCTCCGACTCCCGCTGCCCTGAAACAGCCATCCTCGGCCTGCAACCCGGCGACGTCTTCGTGCACCGCAACATCGCGAACGTGATCCATTACAACGACATGAGCTCCTCCTCCGTCATCGAATATGCAGTCGTGTATCTGCAAGTCAAACACATCGTGCTCTGCGGACACACCTCTTGCGGAGGCATTGCGGCCGCCCTCGCGAACAATAGGCTAGGCCTCTTAGATACCTGGCTCATGCCTCTCCGGCACTTGCGCGAACAGCACCGGGTACTCCTCAGCAGTCTGGACCCGCAGGAAGCCGCGCACAAGCTGGCGGAAATCAATGTGCGTCACGGCCTGAGCACGCTGAAGGAGAACAGCGTGGTTCTAGATGCGATTGAGGAACGAGGGCTGGAGCTCCATGGGGTTTTATATGATGTTGCAAGCGGAATTTTGAGGGAGCTGGACACCGATGAGCCAAAGGATGTGATTCATGCTCGAATTGAATCGTTTAAGACGTTTAGGACTGAGGTTGTGCATTAAAGGGTAATTTTTGTTTTGATTTTTTAAAGGGTTCCTTCTCTTACTTTTGATTTATTATTGTTCTTGCTTCCAGTTTGGTGTTGGAAGGGGTTATTTACGCTTTTGATAATGAGTTTTCTTTTTCTTTTCTTTTCTTTTTTTTTTTTTTTTTTTTTTTTTTTTTTTTTTTTTTTTTTTTTGATTCCTCCCCTACCTATCGTTTCTTATTGACATCATGTGTGTTGACAACTCATTCCGCTTGTTGTAAATATTCTTTGGAGAACTCAATCCGGGCTACATCAATATTGAATATGATTCAAACAACTCTTCTCCATCATGGATCAACTTTTTCCTTAAGGAATGTGACATGATATCAAAAACCATGCTCTCATCACCCCATCAGTTGACGGGCCCACGCGCATTGCTCGCCAATACATTGCAACTACCCTGAATGACGAGTAGTATATAATATGTTGATTTAAAGGGCGTTTTCACGGAACATCACCTGTGTCCACAGGTTAAAGATTTCCAGGGCGAGAATTGAATGAAACAAGTAAAAATGTTCAGTTTTTTCCGCCGACCCTATCCAACGATGGTATTTTACAAACTGAGGCGGCCATCCATATATATTTACTGGCACAGGAGGAAGGAAATAAGCACAATATCAACAAACATCCTAACCGACCACATAGAAAAAATGATAAATACCCCGGTTAGTTTTTCTTTTTCTTTTTAACTTTTTTGTTTCTTCAGCCTACATCAAGCGAAAATGACTTACACACGAAGCATAGTGATGACGGAGAAGCAATAGTATGCCGAAATAAAAAAATAACAAAAAGGAAATGGTGCTATGTCTCTGTAGAATAATAAGCTGGATGTGCTTTTTCTGGCACTCCTTGAATAAAATAAAACACACTTCCTCCTGTTGCCAATTGTCCATTTGCTGCGAAAACAATATTCGACAGGCGATAAAGTAAATAAATAGAGTAAGATAAAATGAAAAAGGTAAGAGAATGGATGAGCAATTAACAAGCTAAAACGTGCGCTGAAAAAATGGCTGGAGGCAATCTGTATGTGGCTAGCTTGAAGATAGATTGCAGGGTGATTTAGGAAGCTGTAGTAACTAACGATGGAAATATGTATGGTTTGTGGGTAGCTCTTAAGAGTGTTGTATGTGGCGATTGTTGGTAATCGATCATGGAAGTACGTTGGTTGGTCTGCTCTCACTTTCGACGGGTAACGAGATTAGAGATATGTCCAAGATGGATCTGGCCTTACCTCGCTTTCATGCGTTTTAGGACATGTTCAGAATAAAATACCTCCAGTAAACAGTAAAATTAAACTTTTCTTTTCTTTTCTTTTCTTTTCTCTTCTTTCTCTTATTTCCCTTATCATTCCAGAATGGCTGCATATTCCTTGCGTGCATCATAACGATACACGGAGAGGTTTTATAAACTTCTCTATATCAGTTCTTGTGGCTGGGCCCTCGTTCTCCAATTTGAATCTAGTCTGATGTAGAGACGAAGTCTATTGATTTATCAAGGATCCCACACAGAGTACGGCCGCATTCTTCTTCTAATTCTTGACCGTCTCTCGCATAGGTAACGTCGTGATTGTCATTGTAAGGGTTTTTAATATGTCCGACATATTTGAACCTTGTTTCAATGGTATTGTACCAAGTGATGCTGAAGGGTGGGCCGAGAGGCATATCAAGGCTGTTGATCCAACTCGGCCTCTCAACGCCTTCGGCTCCAGGATGAGAATCCATCCGTGCCTATTAGCATGGTTAGTTGGGGGTGATATATTTGAAAAGTAGATTCTGCAGGATTCTTTTTCATACATAACCTTGGAATGCCCCGCTCTGATTCACTGAGAAGACAAGAACAACATGACGAGAATTGTCGAAAGCATTGGTAAATTTCTCCAGGTTCTTCACTTGCGTTGCCCAAGTTCCCTAGCCAGGGTGTGTTAGACTTTCCTGTTTACTTATAGAACAGGGAGTTAGGATAAAAAATCGAGAAAATGTTGCATACTTCTTTTTTAGCCGCATCCACCATTTCATATGCAACGCATTTAATCAGGAAGTAGGTGACATCTGACTCGATACGTCAATAAATTTAACGATTACCCAAAGATTTTCATATGGCCTTGGAAACATACCTCCTGCCGCCAGGTCTAACTCCTCAGACCCTCTCAGTCCACGAGAGGAAGAAATATCATGACCAAAACCTGCACTGAATTCCCCGCGACCGCGCCCGCGGCCACGAATCCACCCGCGTGCAAGGCCACGACCGCGGCCACGACCACGACCACGACCACGGCCTCGCCAAAAGCCAGAGTCGACCCGGCTTCCGTGTGGATCCAACAGATCCTCATCACTTTGTCGAGAGCTTTGAAAGAAAGTACCATTATGGTTCCCCTGATCAGCAGTTAAGTCCTGATTAGTGAGATTTTCATCTTCTTCCCTAAACAGGGAGCTATCACCAGAGAAATTTATGGTCCTTGATCATATTGATGCGTTCTTTATTTATAAAGTTCTGGACTGTGTTTTGTATATTTGTCAGTTTTTGTGTGAATGGAGGGTACACGATCCTTTGTAATTTTCTGGTTGGCCACAAACCTTCTTCGTTGTGCAACACGTCCTTGGAGTTGCTGTTAGAGTGAGTCCGCACAATTTTCTCTGCTCTTTCATGCTGATCTCCATTTTCAAGATGAGAGTACTGTCTTTTGGAGACATGGCTGGGAGTATGATCATCAGACACTCCTAAGCTTAGGTTTCTTGTGGTATCGCTAAACTTCATGGTGCTAGATGTAGTGTTGGTCTTTGGGATCAAAGGAGGGGGAGGCATGGAAGAATTTGCTTGAGGATCATAGCCGGAAGAATCAAATGAAAGTTTGTGAGAAAACAAATACGAAGCTCGATCGCTGTTTTTGGTCAAAGCTTCACGTTCCTGTACCTCTTCTCTCATGAGCTCCTCCTTCTCGCGTTCCAAAGCAGCCAGTCGCCTGAAACGGTTCAACCTTCCGCGGCGATAAGTTTCATCATAATAACCTGTGTGCTCAAGCCATTCGCGGATCTCTTCAATTTCATTGGGCTGTAGCTTGGAGAACTCATTATCAACATCCCAGTTGGATTGCATGGCACCAGGAGTGGGCCGTTTCGACAGGGGGGAGCCAGCCTTTAGAGATGAGCCATTCTTTCGGGAAACAGAAAAGCTAACACTGCTGTCCGCCCAAGTTCGCTTTGGTGGTTCATATACACGTCGCTCTGGAACTGGTTTATGATCTGATTGTCCCGACGTACGTCTCACTTCCGGATGAGAAGCACAATCAACATTATCCGCAACACTTGATCCCGCTGTCTCGTTTGCGGCAGAAGAGCAACTGGCCTTCCGGCCTTCAGGTCCCAAAATGGGGTTTATTTTATGGGCAGTTTGACGCCTTTGGGAAACATAATCTGCCGCCGGAGCACTGTTTTCATCTAGAGGAATAGAAGTCCGTCTGGTAGCTCTAGCATCTTCCCCACTTTGCTGGCCGGTAGCAGATGATTTGGAAACACTAACTGCTGACACTCTGCCCTCGGCCAGCAAACCATCAATGTCTTCAGCTGAGGCAATCTGATTGGGATGAGGCTTTTGTTGTTCGACCGCACCCATCCTCCCAGAGGGACTTTCCGCGGCTGCTGGAGTGTCTTTGTCTGAAGACTTAGCATTCCTAGCAGCCGCAGATCCCTTTGCGTGTAGTGGCTGATCAATGGCAGATTCTGAGCCTTGAGTGAGAGAAGCCAGGGTGCCTGAGCTCCTACGTGCAGCATCCGCATTCCCAGAATTAGCCCCATGACTTGAAGCTCGTCTCTGAGATAGTGAAGCCAATGCTTTTGCACGTTTTGCCTGTAAAAGCTCTAAGTCACTAGGTTCATCACCCGAGCTTTTGTGATTCTCATCATGTGCTGGGGTATTTTGTTGGCCAGCATTATAAGTAAAAACTGAATGAAATTGGGAGCCGTTGTCATGATAGATTCCTGAACTGTTTCCATCAGCTGTGTAGGCGGCATCTGCCTGACCATGCCATGGTTGATTGAATTGCGACTGGGACTGAAACAAATGGCCTGGGCCGACAAGGGATTTACTGAGGTCGGATAGCCTCTCATCCCTCTCATCCGACCGTGCACTGAAGTTGGGATAAAGGTGGTTGGTATCACCGTCCGTCATTTTAAAGGGTACAGGAGGTGGAGGCGGGTTGGCGCTTGGACAGGGTAAGAATGCTGACGAAACGAGGGGAGATGAAGAATGTCACGAAACCAATGCATGGAACGAATTAACATGGTGTCAAGTACCTGTTGTCAGATTTGAGGATGGGATTTTGCCAAGTTTGGCGCCACTAAGAGTGCACGCTAAGACCAATTAGAATGCCGGGCTCACGTGCCAATTTGCCAACACAGGATCAGGAATAGTTACTTGAATACTTAGTTATTGATAATTTAGGGAGCTAGTTACGTATACGTAGATATGGACAATGGGTGGTTTCAAAATTGAAATGTATATGACAAAAGAACGTGTGTGGCAGGTCTGAGATGGTCTGGGTCAAATAAGAATGCTCCCCAACAAAATAAACAAACAAATCAATAAACAAATAGTTATAAGCTAGCCATATTCGCCTAGCGAACTCAACATGTCCATTCCTTTGCACCGTAGAAACGCAACGAAATTATATTATATCGAAAATATATATAAAACTGAGGATAGAAGTTCCCCAGTGGAGAGCCTACGTCGATGCCGGCCCCTTTTTGCCAACAAAATCAAGAAAATGGCCTAATCTACGCCATCCCTTGCCTTTCGGCTGCTCCGGTTTACCTTCCCCGGTATAAACACTGGGGGCGCTCGATATCGCATCGTTCGGGCTATCTTCACCATATGAGTAGCGGGGAGAAGGAAGGTTTCTTGCTCCACTTAGATATTGACCATGATCACTGGACATTGGATTAGGCTTCGTTTGCGTTTGTTCGCCAATTGTCAAACTCGTAGGTTGAAAGGAGTCATGCGCATCATGGCTTGGTTGGTCTCTTCCATCATCCTTCAGTCTGGTTTTCCCTTTCCGAGATGTTGCTCGTCGAGAAGAAGTTGGATTCTTTGATTTCTTGTTAGTCGTCTTTGCGCGGTTCAGAGTCAGGCCCCCCAATCGTAGTCGGCCCCCAGTGAACGGAAAGCTTTTGCTCCTTGCACTGCCATCTGTCGTGGCCTCTCTCTCCACAATGTTTCCTGAATTTCGTGTTGACTCTGGGTGTTCTTGTTCTTGTTCTTGTTGCTGTTGCTGTTGTGAAGTGGAAGAAATACGAATTCCGGGGCCAAGGGTCGTCGGTGTTGAAGGGGGAATGTCTGGGAAAAGCGGAGCCTGCGACCACCCTTCCCGAAATGCAACCCAAACGCCACTGACTACTATGAGCGTACGGAGATGTTCGTCGGTTTCAATTAAAGGCGGTTCGTTACAATCACTGGTCTGCGGAAGATTGGACGAGCTTGGAGATGATGGTTTAGTTGACGTGGAAAAAAGTGGATATTGATCAAGAATGTCAATTCCCTGGCGGGACATCCACGCTAAAACTGGGTGTCGACGAGTGGTGGGGTCAATCATACTAAATGTAAACCGCTTGTAATCGTCGAAGGTGTTGTCAGCACCAGTGCTGGATCCAGAAACTCGACGACCTCCCGCCTTTCCCCGTAAAACCCAACGGGCGCACTTTTCTTCTCCGTTCTCCATAGTCCCCTTAAACTCGTACCCACCAGAGGGCAGGCGGGAAACTTCCCAACGGGTCCCTTGCTGTAAAGATATCTCTGCTATCCCGTTCGATTTCGCGCCCTCTTTGCGATGGTGACATACTGTTGCAACAAGCTCTCCGTGATCCTGCGGATCGTCATCAGATGAAATACTCCTATCATCCTCAGTACCCGCCGGTTCATGAGCGTCTCTGGTTACGAGGATAAGGTCGCCCGCAGGAGCACTGTCCTTTCCCCTATATATAGATTGGAGTTTTCGAGGTCCGCAACAGATGGGGGATGATAGGACATCAATAGCGGGTATAGGACGCGTTGTCTGCGATACTCTGTGCAACTGAAGTAGCAGTTTCGACCGCAGTGCGAGGCGTTTGCGACGGGTGCTACGCGGCGGATGCGCGAAGCTAAATGTCGATTTTGTCCGAGTATGCTGCTGCTTTTTTGCAGCTACAGCTGGAACGTCCTGCGTTCGATTATGCAGGCCAGTCTCATTTGGATTTGGGGCAGCATAGTCCTCTTCGGTCGAGAGGCGAGGCGCTATAAATAGAGATGTAATAGCGGATGGTGGGCTCATCACTGGCTGAGGAGCTCCAGAATCGGAACGGTTTTTTGAAGACGACATAAATCCCAATGGAAAAATTGCAGCAGAAGTTCGCGAAAGAAGGGAGGTGTTCGGTTGAGAGTTTGCTTGGTTCGAGAACTCGTGCGTATGGGCGGCTGCCGCATCAGCTGTCAAGCCTAGATTGACAAACATGACGTAAATAGAAAAAGGGCTGCAATTGTAATGACCCCTATCGGGGGACCATCGAATATGTTTGATTATCTCCAACAGGTTGAATGACATTCGATTTCTGAAGCCGCGGATATTTCGAAGCCCCCGTGCAGAACGGGAGCGCTTGCTGGGCGACAACGAACCCGTTCCCTGAGGTTTCACCGAAATGATAGACTTCCGCCTGACACTGGGCGATACACAACAAAAGTGCTGTGTGAGGTTCGGTGCACAAATGCCCAGAAACGAATACGGGATGGGGACTTTGATAGTGGGAACTGAATTCCAGCCTCTCTAAAAAAAGATTGCTTGGAGGCTCTCGAGCTGTCAGCCTTATGGTCAGCTCGAGTCGATTAGCCTCTGCTCAGGTTGACAGCTGTTGTTGATTCTCTTTGTAAGACTTGAGAGCGCTTTCGAACAACGCAGGCATAGTTATGTACTTTGTCACGTACGCTACTTCAGAACAGGTATGTGCTGGTAGCTATTTGTCTTGTGTAAGGAGGGCCAGATTGTTGATACCCCACGCGCCAAAGGAGTCAAAGTTACCTTACAGCCTCACCGAGAATTAATCTTATTAACTTTGGATAAATGAGAAGCTTCCCCTGTCTGAAGATACAGAAGGACAGTATTGCAGTCAAGAAAGCAAATGCCTTCCTCGAATAATAATAATGTTGATATTAATGTTGATGATAATAACAAGAGCACAAAAGAGGGAGAGTTATAAGGGAACAAATCATCCTGAAATATTGTCAACAGGGCCATCTCCATCTCCATGACAGCTTTTAATAATCACTAGCACCAGCGAGGGGGTGAAATCATAATGCCCAGACTCCGCCAGGCGACTTTGCGGCAGATGGCGGAATCTTGGAACAACAGGGGACAGGCTTCAGCGCAGCGTCTTGGAGCAGCCGAGTACGATGACCGATTGAGAAACTTGATCCAGCTGAGCGGACAAATGACGATGCACAGCGAATACGGCCAGAGCGCCGTTCCACCATATTCACTTTGATAGCAGGTCCCTAATATGGCGATTAGCTAACTCGAAACAGCTGGAGGCCTTTGCCATCCACCGACCACTGCCACCACCACTACTAGTGGCATAATCATTTTTCAAAATATTTTCCAGGGTTTCTGCAAGACGAGCCTGGTCACGAGCAGGGCTCCACCAGCCCGGCTGGCCCCGCTATCGGTGGATTTCGAGCTGCTGCGAAGCGTGATTTTGCTGAGATCTCGCAAAGGAACCTTGGGATAGTGAAGCTGCCTTGAGCAAGCTTACCGGTAATTTCGCCGGTGGCTGCCAGTGGATCCGACCGGAACCGGGGATCTGAGGCAAACCGACAATTTTTTAATCTGCTCAGTGCTGTGATTCGACCACTACTCTTGGACCTTACCCTGTTTCTATATTTAAGGCACCAAGAATTCGTCGACTTAACCCCTTCTAAGGTTGGAAGAGCATCGAATCAAAGCGGATGAGATGAATTCCGAACCCCGATCCTCGGGATCAGATCTGCTTCGAAGTCTAGAAATTAGGAGAGTCGGGAAAACCAATGTCCGTCGGATGTTCCACCTTCACATTCTCTTCTTGATTCTTTATGTTTCTGCATCGGGCACCAAAGGAGAGGGAAACTCAAAAAACTGCTTGCTTTGCTAGGAAAGTTTTCTCTCTCTCTTTTTTTCTTTTTGGAGCTCGCATTTAAGGTTTCCTCAGTCTTCCCTGGGCGTTGCATGACGGAGCCCGCCACAAACACAAGCTGCCGTTACTAATAGCAACAAGTATGCGGGACCTGAAGACTACCTTCACAGTTTACTGGGAAAATGATATTTCGTTCACACAACTTCAACACCTCTCGATGTGTACTTTGAGTTGCCGAAAATTCTTCCTCCGTTATACCCTCATTTCATTTGGATGAAGCGGGGCGGTTGGACAAGCAATTATTGATCATTAGGCGGCAGCTAACTTAACCGACTGCGTTTTCGTGGCTGACAGGAGATGATGGGCAGTTTTTCAATCAACGAATGACCGGGAGGTGTGTCACTCAGCCCAAACGGAAAGTTCTTCTGAACGAGATTGGCGGCTGAAAATAAAAAGCTGCTGTTGCAGAGTCCAAAGGCTTCAGTTCTGACGACCACTATCGCAAAATACGACAGCAAAACCGCTGACGCAGCAAATCGGCGATTTTAGGTGCTTGGTAAATACGAAACGGTTTTGACCCACGCGCCCGCAATGCACAGATGACGGCGGTGACGATTTTGAATTCATACCTTCTTAATTCGAACCAAGGTGCAAGTAAGGGAGCTGGTGCGAAATATAAACATCTCTTTGATGGCGTACTACATCGAAAAGTTGAATGAGCTAATTGGTTCGGTAGGAAATCATTATACGGGTAGGAAAGCTTGTATTGCCATAGATTTATTTATAGTTTCCCACTTTAGAGAGAAGGCTTGCGAATGAAGCGAGATGGAGCGCGCTATCCTGTGCCTTTGTAATCTGTACAGATATGTATATCGACCGAAGAAACCGGGATGAATTTCGTGCTAAGTGGCCTAGGCGTGAGTGAGGTCGCCGGGCTTAAAAACGGTGAAATGCTGAATGCCTAGGTAATCGACAAGAAGAGGACATGCTGGTTATCGAAGCTCGGGGGGACGAGAGATTGGAAGGCTATTCCTGAGCCGAGGGGTGTTGGTATCTGTATCAGTATGCAATTCATCATGATGACGTCGTGCAAAACCAGTGCAAACATCTAATATGCGAAATGTTACGGAATGAATCGACGGATCGTGCCCGTCATTTGTGTTCTTAAATTACATCATGGATGCAGGCAAGAAACAGCTTCTTTGGTGGTGCTGGGTTATTCGCGATCATTGAGACGACGATGCAAACCCGTTGGAAGGAGCTAAAACCTTAAAATGTAATTCTGTAACTTGCGCACGGAAGCGATGTAAACCTACCACAAAACTTGCCTCCCTCTCATTTTTAAAATAATATGAACCATGAGGCTCACAGCCTCCCCTCCCTCCCCTCGTTGGCAGTGGATATGTGGGATATTTGCTTGACCATCCATTGAGCAGCTTGTCTGTTCTTCTTCGTGTTTTGGAAGCTCCTGTTGCTGCTGGCGGTTTGTCGCCAGCCCCTGGTACCTGGATACGATACATCTTACTACTCTTTCTTCCCGTTCACTTGCGAGCGCCACAGACTCATCATTATTGGGAGTTGGAACAGTAATTGGCGGCGGGAGTGGGCGGCCATCATCCTTGCTGAAGCTTGTGAGATGGGACGCGATTTACTTCGTGAGCATCGCCCAGCGCGGTTATATATTTGAGCAGGAATGGGCGTTTGGATACGGCTATACGAAATTGCTGTCATTTTTATCATCCGGTGAGAGTTTTCTTGGTGTGTTTTTTTTTTTTTTTTTTTTTTTTTTTTTTGGCAAAATGACCGAGAGCTAATGAATTATCCATTTGTAGTCTTCTGGGAAGATCCGGACTCGAATCCTGATACTCTCCATGTAGCACTGACTGGTATTGGACTCTCGCATATCTGTCATTACCTATCTGTCCTATCGCTCCACGGATTATCGAGAACTGTCTTCGGTGATGGCAGTAGCCGTGCGCTGCCCTTCCTAGCCGCTGCACTTCATGTCATCTCACCTGCTGGTGCATTTCTCTCAGCGCCCTATGGCGAGCCTGTATTCTCGTTTTTCAATTTTACAGGCTTTTACGCATATGCATCTGCGCTACATGATGATCGTCGTGGATGTGTGTTCGCAAGAGATGTAAAATTTTTAGTGGCAGGAGGGCTGTTTGCTACCGTCACTACTGTCCGTAGCAATGGAGTCTTCAGCGGCATGTTGTTTGCGTATGATGCGGTGGTGGGATTGGCAGCCATTGTTTCAAGTGGAGTATCGCTATCCAAACTCCACAGGATGTTTTTTGTTGTTCTTGGCGGGAGTTTGATTCTTTTGGGAGTTGTTGGGCCCCAGTACCGTGCCTTCATGGTCTACTGTCGGAATGTGGACGTGCGTAGGATTTGGTGTGATAATACAATCCCCAGCGTTTACACCTTTGTCCAGAATCATTACTGGTATGTCTCAAGAGCTACGACGATACCTAAAGCCGTGATGTCGTATACTAATTTTACTTCGTCTTTGCAGGGGAAGTGGGACTTTCCTAAGCTACTGGAAAGTATCTAACCTGCCTCTTTTCTGTCTCGCAGCTCCTATGCTCGTGATAATGGGTGTTTCGTCTTGGTGGCCGTTCCAGTCGCCCTTGGATTTCGATATACGAAACAAGGAGCCAAGGAAACGAGAAGAAGTATCGCAAGCGGAGCATCGACGTACATGCCTTTACAGACTGGCGATTCCCCAGGCGGTTCTTGCAGCCCTCGCACTAACGAACTACCATGTCCAGATAATCAACCGCATATCTTCTGGATATCCGTTGTGGTACTGGTATATATCGGTTTGTGTTCTCGAATATGGTAACACTTTCCATCCAGTGCTCAAACCACGTTTGCTGGTTCAGGCAATGGTTTTGTATAGTTTTATCCAGGTAGGACTATTCGCGTCATTTCTTCCTCCAGCATGACCTGTGGTTTTAGTCCCTCGTGCATTTTATCAGAAGCTCTGAGCAGACGGTTAACACCTTTGTGTTGCGTATATGGTTCTGCCTGGTGAAGCGCACTTATTAATCAAGCCAACTAGGACATAACTACTTAAATAGAATCCTTTGTAATCCTACTTGCCCAGCCTTCTCGTAATTCTCAAATTTTATTCTGGAAATCCCACAGCATTCATTGCAGGGTGCGGCTCTCCTTGTATCTGGTCCAGCCAACAACCTGATTAGGTCATCACTCTTCCAAAAGCAAGTTAGAACTTTCCAACTGAGCTTCGGATAACTTGTAGCTCCCAAGTCAAATGAGCTTGGGTAGTTATCTGGCCAAATGACTTCCTGAACTTCACGTCTCCTTTTCCCCTTCGTTTAATAGATGATCATCGACCAGGAATCCGTGTAAATACACCTGCGGCCACCATTGCTGTGCGGCTAGTCCACTGCAGTCTCCCTGCCCAGGAAGGAGAAAGGCTGAGGAGGCATCAAAAATTCCCCTTGCCATATTTGTGACCTTTGGTAGGTTGCTACATGTGTTCTTTTGTGTCTATTCTTAAACTCTGCTTTGTGTTTAAACTAACTACTTAACGCCATACTCAGGTATCTGCTGCACCAGAGACAAACTGGTCTCTATAGTATCCCGTCGACGTCATCCCGTCCTTCCTTGCCATTCGCAATCTTCACTTTTAACGCCAACATGGATTCCAGAGAACAACCTCCAGATATTTTAGTTGCGGACCGCGGCCATAGCGAAAACGAGCTTTCGCGGGAAACGTCCCCAGGAGGCGAACCTACTAGAATCAATGGGGGTTTACTTGATGATCACTTCAAAAAGGCACGGAATAGACCAAGGACGTATCCATATTTCAAATACCTGCCCTATACCGTCGAGGATGAGAGTGAGCGACAACGCAGCCTGGAGGAAATCCTCGAACACCTCTATATCGCCGTCGAATCTGGAGATTTCAATCCAGGAGCTGTACACTGGACACGTGAATTGAAAGGATGGCTGTCGTTGAAGTTTGACCCGACGAGGGAGCAGAGGATTAAATTGGTGAAATTTTATTATGAACTTGCTCTAGCTCCGGGAGTCGACCCGAATGTCGCAGAGAGATTCGCCAGCATGTTTATGCTTTTAACGAAGTAAGGTGGATTGCGGTTTTCGTTACTTCCTTCCCATCATTTCGCTAATAGGACATATAGGAGAAAACATTACCTTTCGACCGGTCAAGGACCTCATACTTTGACTGGAAACCGCTGTATAGAGAAATTAAGATATTCGTTCTTCCTTCACAATCCGGTTTGGTTCACTCCACGAATTTGAAGAGGAATATCAAGACCTTAACGAAACTTTGTGCTTTTGCTCAACCTTATTTCGACCCTTTGGAGTTGCCGGTGATGCTGGAGGAATTTCTACCCCATTTCAGCACTTCATTTATTGAAGGTGCATTCGTCGTTATCGGGTTGATGAACTTGTTCTTGCCCACGACTCCACCACTGGAAGACCGTGAAGACCTTCTCCCACAGCACTATCTTCCAACTTATTTCCACCTTTGGCCCCTGGTGAACCGATCTAGAACTTTTGATGTTACCTTCACAGATCTCTTATCGAGGATGGCACGAGACGCACTCCCGGCCAGCTATATTCCATTCTCCGAGTTTGGAATCTTCACCTCCGAGCAAACCACACTCATATTTACTGCAATTCTGAGGTTAATGGAAATTCCCGTTGGACAAGCGACCTCACCTTACAGCAGTGGTGTCGACTCTTTATCAGGCCTAGGATTAATGCTTGAAAGGGATTTCCGAAAACACCCATTTACTCATAATATTGCGCGATGGATAGTGATGTCACTTTCGCCTGCATGCCTTGAAACCGAACACTCTATATTATCCAAGCTTGAAGGTTTGATAGAAGCAGTGGAAACTTTCTTCCACCCTTCTAATACTGGCGTATGGTCAAAGGCGTTGTCACAACTGGTTTACTACCTCGCAGACTTCTTTGTGATGCGGTGGAACATGGAGCATGACAAGGAAAACGAGGTCCCACCCGAGCGGAGGTTAAACGATGCATTGAAACGACGTTTTGTCCTGTGTCTTCGGGAGGTAACATTCATGGGGATATATTCGAAGCTCGGAGTCGCAATGAACTTTGCGCTGTCCACTCTTCAAAGCTTAGCATACCTAGAACCGAAGCTTATTTTGCCTGGAGCCCTTCAAAGAATTTACCCCTCACTGCAGGGTTTGGTAGAAGTCCATAGGACAACTTCCTCTCTTCGATCTCTGCAGGTTTTATCCCGGCTGATGGCGCGAACCAAGGGGTTCCGTTGCCATATTACCACGCTGTTGGGATTAGTCTTACCGGGCATTGATGCCAACGACTTAGAAAAATCCTTACATTCGTTGGCTTTCATACAGTCGGTCTGCTACAGAA